CTTGGTGTTTAAATGGGGAATATATTAAGTAGGAGAGGCCTATTGGCAGTAGTTAGTTTCTCAGGAGAAGTACTAGTTGAAAGGGGCATGGTAGGTTACAAAAGGCAGCAAGAGGAGCCTTCTGCAGTCGTAAGTCTATGAAAGGACCACTCCATCCCCAGGCCCAGCTGTCATCCATACCCACGTGTGCATCTATCTGTTTGTGCTCTCCCCTTGCCAAGTGCTCACTCCCCCACAGCAATCCTGGACCCTGCTCAGATGAGCACTACAGGTTGATCTGTACTGTCCCAGACTCCGGTTTGCATCCACGTGAACTTTTTAAAAAATACTGTAATTTTATAGCAGTTTCAGGTTTACAACACAATGAGACGATGGTGCAGAGATTTCTCCTATCCCGCTGTCCTCACACTAACACAGCCTCCCCCATTATCAGTGTCATTCATCAGAAAGGACTTTTTTTTTTTTACCAAGGATGAAACTACATTGACACATAATCACTCAAAATCCATAGTTGACCTGAAAGTTCGCTTGGACAAAAGTGTAATATGTTCATCATCATCCTATCATAACGAGTATTTTCACTGCCCTAGAATCCTCTGTGCTCTGCCCATGTCTCTTTCTTTCCCCTACACCCTGGCCAACCACTGATTTCTTTACTGCCTCCATAGTTCGACCTTGTTCAGACGTCAGAGAGTTGGAATCACGTAGCGTGTAGCCTTTCCAGATTGACGTCCACTTTGTCGTATGTACTTAAGCTTCCTCCATGTTTCTAATGGCTGGCGGCTCATTTCTTTTTAGCTCTGGGTGGTAGTCCGTTGTCGGGATGTGCCACAGTTTACCCATGTGACCCTACTGAAGGGCGTCTGGCTTGCTTCCATGTTTTGGCTATTACCAATACAGCTGCTATAAACATGTGTGCAGGTTTCTGTGTGAACATAAAACTTCAGTTCCTCTGGTGAGTACCAAGGAGCGTGATTTTGGATTACATGGTAAGAGTGTACTTAGAGCACATTTATAAGAAATGGACAGACTGTCTTTCAAAGTGGCTGAAACATTGTGCATTCCGCCAGCAAGGAACGAGAGGTCCTGCCGCTCCACATCCTTGGCAACATTTGCTGTCCCTGTTCCAGATGTTGGCCATTCTGATAGGCCTGTAATGGTATCTGTTTTAATTTTCAATTCTCTGATGACATATGATGTGGAGCATCTTTTTATAGTCTTATTTTCCATCCGTTTTACCTTTTTTTGGTGAGCTGTCTGTTAAAGTCTTTGGCCCATTTTTCAAACCAGTTGTTTGTTTTCTTGCTGTTGAGTTTTAAGAACTCTGTGTATTTTAGATAACAATCCTTTATCATATATGTCTTTTGAAAATATTTTCTGTCAAATCTGGCTTATCTTTTAATTCTCTTGATATTTCCTTTTGCAGAGCAGAAGTTTTTAATTTTAATGAAGCCCAGCTTTTCAATTATTTACTGGATGGAGTATGTCTTTGTATCTAAAAAGTCATCATATCCAGGGTCATCTAGATTTCCTCCGATGTTGTCTTCTAGGAGCTTTATTTTTTAAAAAATATATTTTATTGATTTTCTTACAGAGAGGAAGGGTGAGGGATAGAGTTAGCAACATCGATGAGAGAGAAACATTGATCAGCTGCCTCTTGCACACCTCCTACTGGGGATGTGCCCACAACCATGGTACATGCCCTTGGCCATAATTGAACCTGGGACCTTTCAGTCCGCAGGCTGACGCTCTATCCACTGAGCCAAACTGATTAGGGTTAGGAGCTTTATTTTTTACATTCAGATCTACCATTCACTTGAGTTCATTTTGTGAAGAGTGTAAGGTCTGTGTCTAGATTCTTCTTTTTTTCTCATTGCAGGTGGATGTCCAGTTGTTCCAGCACCATTCGTGAGCACTGTCACTTCTCCATTCCATTGCCCTAGCTCCTTGGTCAAAGATTAGGGGAGGATTTATGGGAGTCTGTTTCTGGGCTATTTGACCATGATTAGGTTTTCTTAATCCTCACTTAAGAAGATTATATATACTAGTATACTAGAGGCCTGGTGCACAAATTCATGCACCCACCAGTGGGGTCCCTCAGCCTGGCCTGTGGGAATTGGATTGAAACCAGCTCTCTGACATCCCCCAAGGGGTCCTGGATTGCGAGAGGGTGCAGGCCAGGCAGAGGGACCCCACTGGTGCACAATTGGGGCTGGAGAGGGACATGGGAGGTTGGCCATAGGAGGGCTCCAGGGCATGTCTGGCCCGTCTAGCTGTCTCAGTTGGCCAGACCCCAGCAGCAAACTAACCTTCTGGCTGGAGCATCTGCCCCCTGGTGGTCAGTACATGTCATAACGAGTGGTTGAGTGGCCTTAGCATATCATTAGTATTTTACACTTTGATTGGTTGAGTGGTCGACCAGATGACCAGACACCTAGCATATAATATTTTATTATATAGGATACATATACATATATAAGTATATATATCTACACTAATAAAAGAGAAAAATGGTAATTGGCATACGACGCTACCCTTTTCATTGGCTAATCAGGGCTATATGCAAATTAACTGCCAACAAAGATGGCAGTTAATTTGCTTATGTAGGCGCAAT